TCAATGACATTTTGTTATTGTACAAGTCATTGAATTTTTGGCGAAAAATGGCTTTCACGAATGAAGAAGAAAGAGATATGATACAAATTTATTACAAATACGATAGAAACAGTGTTTGGACATCGGAAATGTATTTAAACTTGTATCCCGAAAGACGACAACCACATCGAACTATGTTCAAGTTATTGGATCAAAATCTCACCGAGTTTGGTTCGTTTGAAAAGCCAATGAAAAAATACGGAGACAGAATCAACAATCAAAATTTGAGAAACGAGGTATGTATGAGGTAAACAAGACATCGTGTCCTTTTTAATTAACTAAAATGTAAAGACAAAAGTAAATCACAGCAATCAGTGTACCCCATAAGAATGTATCCATAACACACAAGTCTGGAGATCTTGCTGGCCACCTCACCGGCCCATTATTCTCTATCCATTTATCATCAAACCCTTCAGTCAGATAATTAGATACTCCGCAACTCCAGTAATATTCTTTGCTAGTCGTTCTATAATTATTTTTCTTGCTTTCAACAATAACATGACCTTACCTTATAACTGTGGTGCTTTGGGTTAGCATGGGAAGGACTTCCTTCCATTTGAGATGAATCACTTGTGTATTCTGATGCCGTTGCAGTCAACAAACCTAAACATCGTAGAGTTTGAGTAAAAGAATCTCTTTGCACCAAATCACATAACTGGATCATAACATCTTGAAGATTTTCTGTATGAACCGAGAGCTTCTGTAGCACATCTTCCTGAAAAATAATAAATGTCGATTACTGAACACTAGGCTGTAGAATTCAGGTTTATTGGAAACAATACAATTCAGCTGATACACTATAAAATGATGTATAATGCCATACTAAGAGTCAGAGCACACCTAAGTAAATAAATAGCTGTGTCTTGGTGTCCATCACACTTATTATACCTTTCTGTGTGAAGACTGGCAGTAAACAAATCTAAAGAAATGAACTTTAAACGTTCAAGCCAGTCTCGGATGAATTATTTTGAACAAATTGAAAAATAAAAAAACCGAAGATATAAAAGGTGTAAATATGTTTGTTATCCAAAGCTGTGCTCAATACATAACTGATCCCTTGGCGGACATAGTCAATGCATGCTTCACTGAGGGTTATTTTCCATTAGAGCTGAAAATCGGGAAAGTAGTTCCCATTCACAAAAAAGGGGATTGCTCAGAAGCAAAAAACTTTCGACAAATTTCCATTTCACCATCTTTCTCTAAGACAATTGAATATGCCATTTACACACAACTTGTTGAATTTTTAGAAGTCAATGATATTTTGAGTCCACATCAATTTGGCTTCAGAAGAGGGAAATCAACCTCTGATGCAATCAACTCTCTCACAAATTACATAAAAGATGCATTTGACAATAAAGATAAATATATTGGTGTATTCACTGATCTCACTTCGGCGTTTGATTGTGTGAATCATAAAATCCTCTTAGACAAATTATACTGGTATGGTATTAGAGGGGTGTGCCTAAATATGATAGAATCATACTTGACT